ATATCTATCAATCAGGTAATAGATTGTACTCAGAGATGATTACTGCCAAACTTTCATTTCTTCAAATACTTATGACACGTATTTGGTATTCTACTAGCGTCTATTTATTTAAACACATAAACATTGGTACAAGGAGGCACCAAATAGATATGCGCCACATAAATGATTCGATTCATGTGAGGGCTGGGATGCTACACGGGTGCCCAAACCTAAGCAGATGGTTTTATTAGGGGTCCACACCCTCAGCCTTCGATTTAAAGGTCTGATCCACAAGGTAGTGGAGCAAAATCAGATGTAAGTACCATGGTAGCCGGTGACTAATAATAGGTTCATACGCCATTTGTTCCTTCAGGATACTGGAGCCCATGTGCACCATTGGTTTGGAATCAGGGTTTTTCAACTCCCCCTAGGTTGGTCTTTGATATTCACTAACTCGATTGAAGCGCCAAACATTCACTTTTCATCCTCTCGATTTCGAAAACAACATCCGTGGCGCGTTAATGCAGTGAGTAGGACTTCCCAAGCAGTGGGTGTATGCACGTGGCCATGTGAGAGCATTTCGAGAGGGAGAGTTGACTCTCCCCACTTTCGGTCGCACCAAGGCATTGGGGGGGGCTACTAGTGTTTACAATGGTAATTCAATGCATACATTTTTTATTGACCAATGCTTTTTTTCCCTACTTTCCATAGGAAATTGTTCGTTTACGTGAAGAAATTTCCAAGATGAAAGAAGAGAATGGCGCATTAATTCGTGTAATCAGTAAACTTTCAAAACCGATATAATCAATAAGATTTTTTTGTTGTTGTTGTTGCTTATCTCCTCTTTCCTATTCTTTCATTTAATTTGTGGTTTGATTCAATGTGTGAATCTCTTTATTGGTTTGTTAGATTGCCTTTTCATTCATTTCATCCATATTACTGTTTTTTTTCTTCTTGTTAACAGAAATTTATCCATTCTTTCTCCTTTATTTTATTTAAATGAGATTGGCATTGTGTGTATATGTTGGATGGGAGTAGAAGTGTTCCAATTATAGTCAACAAATGTTTACACACATTCATGTAACTGTCCATATATATATGCTTATATTCATGTCAAGTTTTCAATATGAACTATACCATGAACATTCGAGGGGGGTAGTTACTTTTAATGGCCGATTCAACACTCTTTTAATTATACATATACACATACACGTATATATCATCTACTTCCTCTTATTTGTCATTGTGGGAATAGCACAACCACAACTGCTACTACCAGTGGGAATTTCTGGAGGTGATAATATATGTTGTTCAATGAAATGTTTAGAATTTCATGGCTATAAACTATCTATTAAATGTGTATAACTATGCGAATTATGGAATACATGCACACTTCTAGCAATATATTATTCATATATCATTATTACTTTGTCTATATTTCTTAATCTATGCGCCAATCTTTCAAACGTTTCTGTATGTTCATATCATTGTTGTAATATAGAAGTAGAAACGAAAAATCAAAGAATTGGTGTCATTATTTATGATGACGATGATGATGATGTTGACAATGACTAATAAAACTTATTTTTATATTTCAAAAAGAAAAAAAACAAAACAACTGAACTGATATACATAAGAAGGACAGATATTCATGTATGTTTATTTATGTTAGATCATCAACTATCCATCCATCTGTATATCATGGAGCGATCGATGTTATAGAATAAAACTTACTACTACTAGTAGCAGTAGTATTCTTGCATGAGTTTTATTCAGAAAAGAGGGAACAGACTGATAGAGATTACATTGTTCACTTTTTCTTGTATTTCTGATGTAGATTAGATCTTGCCTACAATTATTGTCACATTGTTATTTATTTCAATTTATGTGCGTTCAACTACCTAATAAATAAATGAACTAATTGATTATTAGCTAACTATAGCTAGTCTCTGTTCAATTTATGTGTTCAATATTCTATTTTTATTCATCTATTTGTAATATTCAATGATTTTGAACACATACTTTTCACCACAACCCCCTTTCCTCCATCTATCTCTCGGTATATATATATATATGTACGTGTTTATTTATCTTTAAAAGAAAGAAAGATTAACTATTATGACTCGTATTCAATTTGTATTTATTGACAACAACCCCCCCCTATGTGTCTTTATAACATACATACATACACCAATAAAGTGCCTATGTCAAACTCCACTTGTCAGTAACAATAATTGATACTGTGAACCAAAAGGATTAAGTATATTCTCTATTCATTTCACATTTGATTCGTTCTTTTTTTGTCACATTGATACTGTATTATTTATTTGCTTATTATCATTATTATTATTATTATTATTACTACTACTACTACAATTTGTCCGTTAGTCATTTAGTGTTTATTTGCTTTCGAAAAGAAGGCATATGTGGAATGTGACAATTTACTACTTATTTATCACAATGTTAGTATTATGAATATTATTTATGATTGTTTACCTTATTTTTACAGTTGTGTACATAATAACCATTTTCTTTTGTTTTTATCTTTTCCTGTTGAGTATAAAAACAGAGAGAGAGAGAGAGAATAGTACACAGCTAGACAGTAACAGAGAGAAAAAATTTTGCATGTATGTGACAACGATTATTTGTGTTATTTAAGAACAATGTGTGGCTTATTAAAAGTATTTTGTGTATATTCTAGTCCACCATCATATACACATCACTTTACCTATGTACATATATAAATTTAACGTACATACACACATAAATATTGAGTTCTGATCTATTGACCCTTTTGTTTTGTATTCAATGTATTTGTGTATTAAGTGACAAGGTAACCCAGGGACTAAACTACGTATACCAGTTGAATTAATCCAATAGACTAGTAATCAGTGACTGCATTGACATGTATCATATTTTAATATTACCATTTCTAGCTTTCGTTTTAATCTAGTATTATGCCAGCAAACATCCTGTATCTTGGTAGATGGCTGTTGGGCATACGTAATGTCTTAACTGACAACCTCATTAACTGATTTACTAGCTGTGCTTAGTGACCTGCCTCTAAACTTAACATTCCTCGCTTAATTGTCCTAACAAACCTGGAGATAACTAACCGAATACTACGAACTTGCACATGCTCCTTACTTTTAAATGCCACTAAATAAGAGCGGACTGCGGTGTCATATACTAGCCTGATCGTTGAGACAAACGTTTAGCCTACGACGTATGTTAGGAAAAGGTAAAGTGAGCCTTTTAAATCCGTGCCGAGTTTCCGTTAGTCATCAACTCATCGGGGTTGATGAAACTTACCAGGTAAGTGAAGTGGTATGTGTTCAACTACGTCAATTCCTACTGCTAGTTCTGACGCCGACAGAGACCAGTGCTGAAGCAGTATTTCGCATTTAGAGAAAGACGCATCCCAGACATGTGTTGTGGGGCTGTTATCTTAATTATATAGTTCGTAGACAAATCAACCTAGTCACCGTTACTGTAATAGTTACCAAATTTATATCACATTCGCAAGTCGGAGAACGAAGCTCGTTTCGAATGATGCATCCCTAGCGAACAGCTGAAGTGGCGTCTGTTAAGATCATTGAGAACACCCAAGAGCTATCCAGTTATTCAATCCTTGTTTGGGACTCCTAGGCGCTAATTAGGCAGCTTTTCGCACTATATAGAACTTTTAGGTCTTATGACAAGCACAGTATCAATATGACTACCGACTTGGAAAACTACACAGTGCTTTTTCTATACTAGTGCGTGCACTGCTGTGAAATAATGAACAGCGACAATCCCTCATAGTCCTCAATGATTCTTCGACTGATGACTTCAACTCGTGAGTACTACTATGTAAGAACCACTAAGTATGTTGTCAATGAAATAACACAAGGTCTTACCTAAATCACTCATCAAGCTAGATTGTTTCTGCATTAGAGGACCGATCGTCAGACGCTGAGCTGTCTAGGATAATCAAGGTGGATTGATCGATTGCATATCACGGCTCGGGTCACATGGTAGTATCTCTATACTCTGTACTTCCTCATCTATCCAACGTAGCAAATTACTTTGGTAAGATCCCATTTGTTCCATACAACCCCCAAAGAACACATACTACCTGGTCATCACGACAGAGCAATCCGAGATAGGTGTTATTCGCGTATGATCTTGTTATAATTCTCTCACGGTTATAACCCAGCTATTCCTATTGCTCAGTGTTCTCGGACACCGATTCACTTGACAAGTCCCGCAAATCAGATCACGGTTGTACAGGAAAAGAGATTACATTCCAAATAACAAGATAAGATGGAAGTAAGTAGTGTAGTAGGGAAAACTTTAGTATATTCATAGCTTTTCACATGAGATTTCTAAAGTGATCACTAAGTATTGACTAACGCTGATTGGCTAATTCTTATTCAATCAGGGTGCACCAACGCAAGCGTGCATTGAGCATGATGTAATCCAATCTATGTCCAGCTAACAGACCTCAATATAAGTTGGACAGTCATGTTATTCCCAATCAAATCGAGTTGATTTTACTATCCACAAACAATTTAAATATTGACAGATTAAACAAACAAGATACATACAGATTCCAAAATGTATAAACAAGAAAACATAAAAACGATAAGTTGTATATTTATAAATAATACAAGCATTGTACAATGTCAAACTGCTAGTAACAAACACAAGATCAAGAAACTTAGTTAAATGATATACTTCATTTTAATTGATGAACATTTTATTTGGAATAATCACAAATCAATTCTATAATTGATGAAACTACAAATATGTTACTTACTTACGCCTATTACTTCTGATGGAGCATAGGTCGCCGACCATCATTCTTCAACCCACTCTATCCTGAGCCTTCTTTTCTAGTTCCATCCAATTCTTGTTCATTTCAAATATGTACATTAAATTATTGAAATGACAATATACTACTGAAATATATCAATGTTATTCCCAATATCTACATGTTATGTTCACAGTTGATTTGAACTAAATAATATTTCTGTATTTTATAGTAACCATTCTTCTAATAAATATTTCACATGATAATTTAAAAGATTTTTTAAATTTTCATCTAAATTCTTTAAATAATCCATTTTTAATTTATTTTTATTTAAATGACAAGAATATGAAAGGATTATAGTACTATTATTATCATGATTATTCATACTGTGATTATTATCATTATGATTCTTATTCATTGTTAATAAACCATATTCTATGGCATATAAAAATTTACATAATATAAGTTTAGTTATTTTTATAGAACATTGTATAGTTAAATGAATTGGTCCATTTAAATGATAACATTCCAATGGGATATCTAATGCTTTTTGACCAGCTCCACCAATTACATATACACGTTTATCTAAACCTAATGTTACAGTATGCCAATGACGATGAATTGGTTTATTATTAAATCTTTTCATTATAATAGATGATGAAGAAAATAATTCTTTATTCATAGTAAATATATTCATAGGAGTATTTCTAATATCAATATAAAATGGTGATTGACTATGATAACACTTGATTATTGACATAATTGTTTGTTGTATATATGATAATAAACGATCATCACTATATGTAGAATAATTTATTGGATTATGTATTTGATTTGGTGTTATTAATAATAATAATTTATTGAGAATAAATGGATTATTTAAATCTAATTGATATATGGGTAATAATGAAGAATTTTTAAATATTGTTTATTATACATATTAAATTGTGGTATTAATTTATGTATTAATTCTAAACGATATTCATTTGTTAACCAACTATTTTTTTCTTGTAACATCATTTGAATGATTTGCCATGGTAACATAAATTTAAGAAACATACTTATTAATGTAGAAAATATTGAATTTTGTGTAAATTCTAAATCAGATTGATAATTATCACATAGATTATTCAAATCTTCAATAAGTTGACTGTTCCTAGTCACCGTAGTAGTAGTAGTAGTAGAGTTCATCTTTGAATCTTTATCTTTTTCTTTATTGATAGTATATAAACAATAATTTTCATTTAAATATTGTATAAATATAGTATGTAATAAAGCAATACGATATAATGTTTCTTTAGGATTTATACATTTATCAGGTTGATAATTATAATCATTATGTACTGTAAAAGATGAATTTCGATACATATATAAATGATAATTGAAATCATGTAAAAATAACTTCAAATTATCTATCATACTGCTACTATTATTATTATTATTATAAGTAGTATGATGATTAGCTTCAAATAATTCAGTCATCAAATTTGAATCCATTGAATAATACAATTGAATTAAATCTATATACAATTGTTCATTGAATAAAATTTCTCCAAATGAATTTACATTTAAATTAATATATTTCTTATCATTAATTGATTGTTGTTGTGAACATATATAACCATTTATTAGAGTTGGTTTATTTGAATCAGTATCATTATTCATTGGATTCAATGATTCAATATAATAATTTTGTTTATTTAAATTCATTAAATAAGAATTACCATTATCATTATTATTAGATATAATATTGACCTCTTTTGTAGAATGAATAATTTCAGCTTTTAATTGTTTATATTGTTTACATAAATGAATATTTATTAAATAAGCATCATTTAATGATTTTTCATCATTAGAATAACCACCATGTAGAAATAATTGAATATTCATTTCATTCATTGATTTATATTTAGAAGAAGAAGAACAACAACAAGAAGCATTCTGTGTAGATAATGATTCATTGACAACAATCATATTCATCCAAGATCGACCACATGGCCATATACATGATATTGATGGTTGTTTAATATAACTATTATTTGTTATATTTGGTATATCTAATGGTGTTAAAATTTTAGTCCATTCCATTAAATTAATATTAAAACAATACATATCATTTAATCTACCCATACGATAATCTGATAAGTGTTGTGATGTATTTATATGATTATAATTATTAGTATATGGACCACGACCACCAAATATAATGAACCAACCATGTTTAGGTAATATAATAGAACAATGAGCTGCACGTGGTGTTGGAAATTTCCCAATGACATTTAATTGATGAATTAAATTCCATTGATTTTGATGAATATCATAAATAATTAATTGATTATTCCATCCACCATTATTATCACATATAATCCAACTTTGATTATCATTTGGATCATATAAATATGGCCAATGATAAATTGATTTGGCCATAGAGATAATGGTTTAAATTGTGGACCATAACCACCAAATAGATAAAGTTTACCATTATAATATTCCATACAAAATTTATCACGTGGTGATGGTAAAAGATTATTACAATGTTTATTAGTATTTTTTCTTAATTGTATATTACTTGAATAATCATAATTGAATCGTCTTTGTAACGATTTTAACATTGTTAAATTAATAGATTGATGTTCAGTTATAGCTTGTGGTAAACATGCTAATAACTTAAAATACCATGTCCACTAATTACAGAAGCATGGCAACAATGTGGTCTTAAACCAGTGGATGTTATATTATTATTACTAGTAGTAGTAGTAGTAGTAGTATTAGCATTAGTATTATCATTAGTTATATATTTTGATAGATTAGTATGAGTTAATTCATATCGACATAATGCATTTAAATGAATATTACCTAGTAGTGAATAACCTCCAAATGTATAAATACATGCTGATTGTTTTTCATTATTTCTATTTAATAATTCTGGACATAATACAGCACTATTACCAGATGTTAATAGAATTAATTCATTGAACATATGATCTTGTAATGATTTAATATCCCAATGTATAGGTAAACATTCTATACAATTTGTTATAATATCATATCGTGTTAAACCGATTCGTTCAAAAAGTATCATCTAAATATTTTATTTATTTTGAAAATAGAATAAAGAATAACGCACAAAAAAAAGTAATATGAATCAAATAAGTAGTGATTATTTATTTCATATAAAATCTAATAGAACTCTCTGGTACTAGGTAAGGATGGCAAGTCAATTGATGAAGTAGTGAGACTTTATCAGTTGAGATGGCTGGGACACGTGTTACGTATGCCCAACGACCGACTACCTCGACGTGCGATGTCCAGTGGTATGGGAGTAGGTTGGAAGAAAGGTAGGGGTGGCCAGACCAAAACATGGCACAAGTCCATGAAGTCACCGACAAGTGGAATGAGTCATGTTGGTAGGTGTAGACTACCTGGTTGGGGACCGCGAGATAACAACCGATGGTTAGAGACCCTGAATGACATGGTTCAAAATCGTTTGCAATGGCGCAGGTGCATCCACTCTCTGTGTTCTCCCAAATTTTGATCTCTTGATTCCTCCTTGTCTCTTTTTTTCTCTTCCCAAATTTATTTCACTGTATTATACTCCTTGAATAACATCTCCAAACACTAATCTTTCCGATTACTGCTTACACTCTTACTACCTCTACCACTATGGGATTTGAATCGACCACTGCATCTCTGTGCTAATGTGGTGTGGCAACTCGAACTGATGTACGTAAGTACGAAGCTCTACGTTGTTACTGATTAACTGACTGGTTCAAAAACAGTATACATCGTTAAACAAATATTTTTTCATATAAATATGGGGCCTGTGATATTGATCGGATCGCCAAACCAAATCAAGCTGTTAACTTAAAGCAGTATATCAAACAGTTTAATCTATACGGTAGTGTAACAAAGTCAAGAGATGCCGTTTCATGTTAGCCGATGACAAAAAAAGTAGGTTTATATACTACAGGAAATTGAAATTCATGTTCATCATTAATTTCGAATCAAGGTTTTCTGGTTCCAAAAACCGTGTTTAAGAGCTATATGTTTGCTTTTTTTGTCCTCTTACTTTCGATAAAAAAACATCGCAGCCAGGTGACGACAGTGAGAACGGCTTTCCAAACAAAGGTTCCAAATCCATGGGCATATGAGAACACCTAGAATAAAGAGAACTGTCTCCACCTCAAAAGCACCAGAAAATTTCAGAGAACATTATATATATATAAGGGATGCAAGTAAGTAAACAAGCAAACACACTGACCACACACATTTACATCTCCCACTTGACAGATAAATATTCCAATAGTTGAGATCGTGAGTCAACTGAAGCTAGACCACTATCGAAAACATGGGAGCACTGGACGGCCGTTTCGTCCTATTGTGGGACTCCTCAGCAGTACGCATCTACAACCCCGCAACTCGAGGTTCGGACCCAGGACCTACTGGTCTTGCGCGCGAGCACTTAACCACTAGACCACTGAGCCTGCATCCAACGGTGTTAATGTCTAACTCCAACTAATCCACAAAATTGAGCGACACTGTTAGGTCCCGATAAACATAAAGAGTGGCAACTTTGGAATCCATTTATGGACCAATACTAAACGCATATTTTTATCGTATAATTGTTGACTACCGCAACTATTCACATTCATATCCCTCTCATAATAAACTTTATTTTGACCTATGAGCCATTATTATACATTTTACCATTCTTGAATTATGCCCTGTCTATTAGTCACTGCCTCACACATTCACAGCCACATTTGGCCAAATTTTGTACAAATGTTATTTTCTATTTTATGCTGCGTTGTGGCCTGTATGATTGGTGCATAAACTCAGTATGTTTTAAATATGATACATATTGCAGAAGCTGAGGTTGGCGTTCTGGACTTAACTGGCTGGGCTAGGTGGAAAGCAGAACCAATCAGAACTCTAGGCTGCTCGCACGTGCTTTACACGTCCTTGATCATATCGATAATTCGCTGCTTCTGATTGGCAGCTTTTGGTTATAACAGACACACAATAGAACGAAACGGCCGTCCAGTGCTTCCAGGTTTTCTATGGTGGTCTATCTGTAATTGACTCATGACCCCAACTATTGAAATTACTAAAATCTCCACAAAACCCTTTCTGATACCAAATAAATATTTGTCCAAACTAAGATGGTATACATTGCAAAATAAATAAAAGTACATATGTGTTTGTTGCCACGCACTATAAACTACATAATATTACGTAAATGACAAAACTCTACATTCACTCTTTCAGCATACATTAATATACAGTTCAGTTGAGTCAATAATTTTTAAACCATTGTGTATAATTTTCTACAAAGCAGGACTAGATAATGAAATTAAAAAGAAAAGACTGATTATTGAAAATACAATCGCCGAATTAGGCAACCGATCTGTATGAAACGTAATTTGAATCACACAAATTTTAATATTTGACAGTACGATAAATACGATGATAAAACTAAACATCACCAAATAACTTGATAAAGTTTACTGTACTTGGAAGTAAGTGACTTGAATTACCGAACTGAATAAAAATCCGTCCATCTTATTAAATCACTACCTCACTGAAACGGTTCTCCATCATTACGAAAATCTATATCTTTATCACAAAACATTTGATTAGCTAAGGAAACCAAGATTTTCATCTCGATTGATTTGTGACTAGGACTTCCATTCAAACTCAATATGGTTTAACATTCCCAAAACACTGCAGTTGATGAAATTAAATGCCGCATGGAGCTCGAAAGGTGAGGTTAGCACGAAAAAGATTACTAGGCATGTTTGCTTTCAGAAATATGTGTAAGGTGAAAATATACAGTTGACGTACATTTAACAAAAAATACCACCCTCGGTCTTCCCCAAATTTCCCTTTAATCCTCCGCTCAATTGTTGAACAACTATGACATCTATGAGTTCAAGAACTATGCCAATCAAGTTATTGTTATTGTGAGCACATTTCTGTTCATTGCCACAAACTACGGCAAAATATAATACTAATTTCCTGCACTCAAATAAAACCGAAATTGCCTAAAGTAATAACTCAGCAGTACGAAAGTTAGGGATTTCTGAATATAACTTATCTATACTTGATTACTAATACTTTCATTACGTCTGTTATAGTTTCCTCATGAATTAATGGGTTAATGTCTAGTTTAAACAAAAGCTAGGGCCGTTGTGAACGGATAAAGCTTTGTTAAATTGAGCTTTTGCATATAACCACCGATGCATATATATGCCTGGTCCTACGTTGTAGCTGACTGACTGAATTTTCATCTTAACTATCGGATAATAGTATATCTTATGAACCACCTATATTACTTCCCCTTAACCTCACTGATCACTTTCATTTCAAAACCAACCTCCTAAGAAAAATAAACAACTGATTAAGGGCAACTTATGTGATATGGTTAGCTTCCTTTAGTTTTCTCTCTTTCCCATCCACCTAAACTCCTTCATCTACTGTGTAAACGTTTTTGAGAACAGGCGTCGTTACCAAGGTTTGACTTGATAGTTTCAAAGTGAGCATTGGGTAGATTGTTATTCATTAAAGTAATATATGTGTAACATTCTGAGTAGAAAAATTGATTTTTTAAATTTTCTGATGTTTCGTGACTTAGTGTAAGCCACTTCTTCAGAGAATAAATAAACAAATTGAATAAACCCAAGATTAGATAAAACAAAGCCGGAATATTTGGTGCGGTCAATCAAAAACAGGTACGAGGACAAAATATATTCTCTGCTGAAATCAAACATACTTCACTCCTCAACGCTACAAAAATGCACTCGCAATCAATCTCGATAACCATGAAACCTATATCGATCGACTATTACCACTGCTATTTGCGTGCCGAACACCAAACAATTGGTCACAAAAATTCGAATACTCAGCGAATTAATTTGATTCTAATGAATTCAGTCAAACAAATAAACAGAGCTACAGCTTACTTTATCATCTGAAGGGCCGTAACCATTTAAAACATAGATGTACCGTCCATGGGATACTGCTGAATGTCCAGTACGTGATAACGGATGTACAGGGTCACCGGCCCCATTCCAATGTCTACTGTACGAATGACTATTCATCCTGAAAAAAAGATATTACGTTCAAGATTCTCTTCAAAAAAGGTGATAAAATAATCGACTAAAATGTCTAAGTTCTAGATATCATGTGTTTTAAAATTGATTACGCATAAAGAGATATTACCACTTTATATATATATATATATATATATATATATATATATATATATATATATTATGTAAACAGATCACTATGCGAGTTAAAGCATGTGATCCACAATTATTATTACAAGCCTTGAGTAAAATAATTCTACCTCCGAACTCTGAACTTTATTGGGTTTTTTTTAATGACATCATCAAGTCATCCGTTTTGTGACTATCTCAGTAAAAACCACTCGAATTCATTTAGATACATGATATTCTTAATTACTTTCACTTCCCGAAAGCAAGACGCCTAACTTCAAATTGTTTGGTGTTTCGTCTCATTATGCTCATCATCTGTCATATGCAGCTTTTAGAACTATCCATTCCTCTCACCCTTCCGAAAAAATGTAGACTAAAAAATGAGTCACGAGACACTAAGTCATTCAGTCACAACGTAGGAACAGGCACTATACACATCGGTCCAAGTTGCCATACCTCATTAACACAACAAGATGGACACCGGATTCATAAAAGTAGTTAATTCAGAGGTGGTACTATATAAAAGAAAGATTGCAATAAGGACATAGTACAGGAAGAAAGAATTAGTTCGTAGAAAAAAAGATATGAAGCGATTTTAATCTCTTAGTTTAAGGGAAGATAGAGAGTGTATACACCGACGCCATTGTGACCGATTCTGAGCCATGTCACCAAGAGTCTCCAACCATTGGTTACGATAGTCATACGGACCCCAACCAAGTAGTCTGCATCTACAAACATGGCTCAGGCCAAAAGTTAATGACTTCAAGCACTGATGCCACGTTTCGGCTTGACCGCCCCTAACTTTCTTCCAACCATCTCCAGCACCGGTTAGCATTGCACTTCGTGGTAATCGGTGTCCAGGCATACGTAACACGTGGACCAAACATCTCAGTCGATCAAGATTCACAATCTCACCAACTGGTTTACCATCATTCCCTAAAACCATGCGTCTAACCTCACTATTACTTATCCGGCGATCCCAGCGGATGCGAGCAATATTTCTAAGGCATCTGTGGTCAAATACTAGTAGCTTAAGAGTATCTTCGACTCTTAATGGCCGCTCTTCGCAGTAGTAAGGCAGAATAGAACAAACTGCTGCACAGTATACTCGTCCCACAATTGATAGAAGGATCTCTTGCCTTCGCTGTAAGTGACGTAAGTTGGCAAAAGCCAAAAAGACTTTTCGAATCCGTGTAGGAATTTCGTCAGACACCAACCCATTTGGGCTGATCAGACTTCCAAGATAAGTGAAGTTGTCAACGCGTCCGGCTACTTCATTCCCTATCCTTAGTTTAGGTGTTGACGCAGCCCAGTCCTGAAGCAACAACTTGCATTTAGAGGGAGAGAAGCGCATTCCAAACATTCTGATATTGTTGCTCAATGCTACCAAAAGACTCTGCATTTTATCATTGTCTTCACTAAACAGGACTATATTATCTGCGTATTCTAAGTCTATAAGTGGACCTCCTGGAAGGAGATCAATACCCGAGAATGTTATTTCCATCAATAGGTCCATGATGAAGTTAAACAAAAATGGAGAAAGTGGACATCCTTGACGGACACCACTTGAGGTTGCAAAAGCAGATGACAGTTCGTCATAAGCTCTGACTCGACTAGTAGTGTTCGAGTAAAGAGCCTTTACAAGGTTTATGTACTTCTGGGGTACGCCTTTCAATCACAGACACTGCCACAGAATCTCGCGGTCTACCGAGTCAAATGCTGCTTTTAAGTCAAGAAAAACTATCATTTTCGGACGCCGATAAGCATACCTGTATTCTAGGACCTGACGAATGGTGAATATGTGATCGATGCATCTACGACCAGGTCTGAAGCCAGTTTGATTCTCTCGTGTCTGCAGTTCACGAGTCTTAGTTAGGCGTCCGATAATTATCGAGGCTGGTATTTTAGATACTATATTAGTTAAACTAATCCCTCTATGGTTGTTACAGGATGATTTTGACCCTCTCTTATATATTGGGGCGATCAGTGATTGCGACCAGTCAGATGGGATGACGTCTAACTCCCAGATTTTAACAAAAATATTAGTCAACCTAATCGCTAAAATTGGACCACCGTCCTTACAGACCTCTGGAGATAATCCATCTGGGCCAGCTGCTCTTCCTTGTTTCAGATTAGTTATGACTTTTTTAAGACTTCAATTAGAGTCGAGGGGCCTACTTCAACGTTCCATCCAGGCTGTTTAAGAATGGTGGGTAGTTTTAGAGTAGCTGAAGGCCAACTAAACTGTTCCCTAAAATTTTCCGATCATCATTCTAGACGTCTGGGCTGAGAGCAGATAAGAGTGTTGTCTTTTTCCGAAATAGTTTCACTTACACTTGACTTATTAATCCCGGTTTTTTTTTATTAGTCTGAAAAACTGTCTTGTGTTCCCTATAGCGGCCGCCTTTTTCATCTCTTTTGCTTTCGTTGCCCACCACTGCTCACGGTCGTTTCTTAGACTTTTGCTTAACCTAGATCTGATTTGTTTACGCTCTTCATCGTGCTGAGAGCCTGACGGGGTGAGTTTACGAGAATCCATCAGTGCAATAGACTTAGCAGAAATCCACGGGTTTTTCGTGACCTTGTGGTCGAAATCACTAATATATGTCTCTGTTGTTTCCACAGCTGTTTGTATATCTTTCCAAGCAACATCCAAATCAGCCTCGTTTTCAAAACTACCTAAAAGTGACATCAGTTGTTCCTGGAATCTACTTCCGGCTTTCTCGTTACTGAGTTCAACTTTAATAGGTCTGCTTGAGCATCTGGGCTACCTGTTCCTGCCATCTAGATATTTCAGCAAGCTATCTATTTTTGTTTGTTTTAATATATCATTATGTCTATTAATCGCATAACCTATTCTGCTGCGTTTCTGAAAAGTGTACAACCTTTCGTTGTCAAAGTTACAAAAAACTCAATAAGAGACAATATGGTTGCTGGTAATTATACAACGAAAAGAATGCACATTATTCAGATGTTCATTTACTGAACTGCTAACATCTAACTGGCGATCACTCGATATTTATCGCCAGGACCGACCAAGATGAAAGAAACGGAAACTTGTTGAAATACTTTGTGCTGAGAATTCTATACTGTACCAATAATATAATATTGAATAAAGCTAATAATAATAATAATAATAATAATAATAATAATAATAATAATAATAATAATAATAATAATAACCTTAATGTGATTTTAATGCGTCCGGTGAGGCGCAGGTAAATGTGTACTCGTATTAGAGCATGATCAGAGTCTAATTATGTAATTCAGAACGATCGGCAGTCTTTTATCGAGCCTCTCCAACGATGACTGGTGTCAATATGCTCTGTTTGAGTATATCGTTGGTTTGGTGTAGGGGATTGCCATGTGAGTCGATGTCTCTCCTTTTGCTTAAAATTTGTGTTTGCTAAAAATAAACGATTGTCTGAGCACAGTTGCAGCAGACGATCACCATTATCTGTTCGCTGAGCCGGAATACTAAAATATCCACCTAAATGCCTTTCTGTTTAGTCTAAACTACCTATCTGGGCATTAAAGTCACCCCCTACGAGTAATATGTCTGAGTGTTTAGCTTTATGAAGTTCAGAAAGCTCTCTTTAAAAGTCATCTTTCACTTCATCTGGGCTGCAGTCAGTGGGAGCGTACGCAGAAACGTCGAAAAGGCAACGACATGTGTCCCTATCCTTTCGAGATCTTACGGAGTCGTTTAGCTGAACAGCACACAGGCGACTGTTACCAGGGATCCATTCTAATAGTACTTGTTCTGCCCTCGTACTCGGTGCTATGCCTACACATGCCAGTCCATGAGAACTAGCCACCGGGCCACCAGATACACGGAGGGTGTATCTCTTCGGTTCTCCGTTTTGCCGAGGTGAGATCAAGTGAATGACTACACTAGGATCCTGTATGTGTGTTTCGGAGACAGCATACATCAGTCGTACGAGATTCTAGTGCTTTAGTCAAGGAGGCCGATGTGAACTAGAATGCGTACGTTGAAGGCTCTAATTTGTTGTTTGTAGAGAGGTTTCAGTAGACCTTGGACAGTGTTTTGAGAATTACAGTCGCTAGCCATGGCTACACTTGAGGAGGAAGCCAAAAAAGGAAGATTAGAGTTGAAAGTTGAGGTAGGAGGAATAATAGGAATTGAGAGATCGTTTATGAACACAATGGCCTTGAGTGCTATCACAGATGTGAGGGAGGTTATCACTTCCCGATTGCCAACACCGTGGAACGGTTCTTCTAGAGCTACCTGAAAAGGAAAATGAATCAAAGATGGTCTTAGTGCGTGACCGCAGTACCCAAGGGACAACTGCTCGAGACCGGTCACACACAACCTTTTAGTTAGTAGCTTACGTGTTAGCTCTGTACATGTTGAGACCTTATCACCAGAGACGGAAATCCGTGGGACAAGGCGAGGTGTGCAGTTAAGGGCTGACCTTTTCTAACTCCACCCTTTCTTGTGGGAAGGCAGCATCGCTGTTACGATGGTTGTCTGAAGGAAACACCCTACTGCTGTCACAACTCTGTATAGTCAGCAGTACGACTTCGCTCTCGGAACTTGGGTTTGCTGCTTTTAGTCTTACCGCTCTTTAATCGACCTGTCTGACATGGTAAGACCTTGAAAAACGATTGTTCCAACCAGTGTAGCTTGACTGATTCATTACGATAGGCAAGCCCGACCACCACGTAAAGGTATCAGCGACGGTCACGAGACACCTGTTGAACCTTAAGTTTAGATTATGTTCATTAGCAAGCAGTCTACGACAGTTTGGCTAAAATAAATGGAACAGTCTGGTTGTCCGACTAAACGGTAAGTTTTTGGTTAATACATTCAACTTTCAGTCACTAAGTAGTAGGTTCCAATTCCGATCTGTCGATTCAGAGTTCAGCGATCCGCTATTGTCCCTACCGTTTCAAACCGAAGTGTGGATTAGAGTCAAGTATACGAATGTGTAGACTGGTGGTTTATTAGTTAAAACATGCAACTTTCAGACAATCCTAGGTTCGAGCCTCGATGCAGCTATTTGTTTAAGGTGGACGGATAGCATCAAAAACATCGATGGTTGGAATAAATTTTACATCTACGTGCCTGGAAAATGAGTTGATTTAACCTGGTTAAATAAGAGATATGTACCCGATGAATGAATTGTAATAACCTGTAATAATAAAAAGAATACAATATCGAACTATTCACATAGTCTTATAGTTCGCGTGGTTTATGATGCACATAGAAATTTACAACATATTCGATAAGTCGTTTAAGATTTACACGAACCCATTAGCCAAGGCTGCATATTTCTATTGAACTGATTGTTTGAAAAGTATTGAATACACCGAGACACCACCTTTCACGATGCACGTTATTTAGAGTAGCAGCATCTGGAAAGTTTAAGTGGTCAGATGAAAACTCTAGATGATACTACCGGCTGGAAAATAATCAAGGTGGCCAACTTATTCGTCACCTTATTAGACATTTGCAGTTTACGGGCTCAATGACAACTATTTGTATCACTTCACACTTGATTTACAAACACACTCACACTAAGCTTTGCATCTGAGTTGGTCGTAGTGGTTACACTTCTGTTTCTATCTCACCAAACATTTCTTCTGTTTTGTTTATGTGATGTGAGAACTTGAAATGATGTACATTCGTGCCCAAACACAAATTACTGACTATTTTCTCCACGATTAGTATTAAACATTGCTTCAAAATCTAAACAAGATTAACTGTAATGGTGGGATATTTTTACTACGAATTAACTAAACGTCTTTTGTAAACAAACAGTATTGAAACCATAAATATGGCATTCAGAATGGAACAAGATGATCACAGATACTCAATGAGATGGTTATTACAGGTCGAGTGAAATGAGGGAAACTGGGCAATTAAAACTGGAAACTGACTGTGTGTGATTCTAAATGTGTTACAATATATAAATATAAATATGTACATGGTATGTACTAATTATAATTACTGCAATAAGTGAGAATGTTTAGAGTATATGCATTTTATAAGATACATAAACTAAACCCACACTATTTCGGATTTAACTCACATATTAACATACATAAAAACATTTGATGGTCATCATCACTCCATTCTATGCACATTTGCATCCCAGGAAGTGTCTGGTACCGCTCATTTGGATTTTCCCGGAGAGGTCAATATGTTCAATACCTTATCTTGAGTCCCCAGTCGGTTTTCAGTAGTACGGATAGGGGTCTATCGACCTATATTGATCCTCGCAGTTTTCAACACCGTGAATGTCCAAGCTTGTTCTGAATATGTCAATATAATGTATTGATATCACGTACTCTGGTAGGGAATTCTAGTAATTCATCACCGCGCTATTTAAAAAGGACAGTGGTATTCTTTCTCGTTGAGTTAATTAACTGTTTTGATCGTAAATTACGCATCAAAACTACTGTTTACACTTTAATTGCATCTACCCCAGTTAAAGTGATATTTTATTGAGTTTTTCGATTTTGCTTCTGTGTATTTATTGCATCGAAGCATACTTGGTCGACTTTTACTTGGTTTATTTAGTTAAGGTTTGAAAATCCTTTTACATATCCTGTTTTTGTCACCGTTCTAGTTGATTTTCAAGATGGCTAGGTCTACTCATAAATGTGGACAACCATACTGCTTATTTCCCGTGGATGAAGGGATGCAATGTGATGAGTGTAATAAGTGGTTCCATAAGATGTGCACCCGATTAAGCCCCACTGCATATAAAAGGTGTTCAAAGCCCAACTCTCATTGGCTTTGTAGTTTTTGTTGCTCGAGCAAAACATTGCTTATCCAGGAAGCAATTAGTCTCCTGGTGTTGGCTAATAAGAAGGTTGATGAGGGCTGTACTGATAACATTGGTACGGATGGCGAAGATTGCGTTAGTGTCGTAAGTGCTATCACGGCGCAAGCCAGACATCTACCTGTGCAACCCACAGTTAAACGTTCTCCCCCGAAACGATCAGTGAGTGACACGTCATTAGACGTTGGTGGCCATATTGCTACAGCAGCAACCGGTGACCCAGATAAAACAATTACTGTCCCGAGTTGTTCTAATGTAGACGTTTCGACTGATGGAAAATGGATGACGCGAAAACGCAGAAGAGTAGGAAAGATAGCTAAAACTAATGACTGTTTACTTGGTAAGTCCTTGGTGGACTCTCAGACCAATCCGCCAAAGTCTCATAGTAAAGCTTCGTCTGACATTGTTGTGAGTCATTCGCTTGACTCCCAGGACTCTGTTAAAATAAAAACTAATCGTAAGCTACCAGTAGTTAAAATACAGGATCTAACGTCACGGTCGAAAGCTGTGAACACAGTTTCAAAAGAAGCTAAACCCATCCCTAGTTTAATTATTTGGAATCTAGAGGAGTCGAAAGACAACGACCCTGCTAAAAGACACGCACATGACCTACAGTTAGTGGAGTCTGTGGTCAGGAATGTACTACCTGAAGAGGTTTCAGGGGTACATATTACAAAAGTAATACGACTTGGTAAATGGGTTGGAGGCGAGACCCAACCAAGAAGGATCCTGAAGCTGGTTCTCGGGAGTTTCGAAGAAAGAGACATATTATTGAAAAGCGCACAAAAAACTCGTGCCTCAAATATCCGTATTCGACCAGATTGGCCGCTTGAGGATCGAATCAAGTGGAAGAATGCTCTTACGGAGTTGAGGACTCGCAAATTAAATGGCGAAAATAACCTTACCATTAAGGGTTTTCGGGTAGTCAGGTCTTGGAAGCCAATGCTTCCGAGGCCTGTATGGGTAGAACGATTGATTTCCAAAACACCTTAAGTGTGTGCTACACGAACGCTCGTAGTCTTAGAAATAAAACGTCCGAGCTAAGTCTGATGGTGCAAGAATTATGTCCCGATATAATCGTTGTTACAGAAACTTGGTTCACCGTTGATATAGACTGTTCTCCTTTCATTGCTGGTTATATCTGTATCAGAAGTGATAGAGTTTCAAGTCGCAAGGGGGAGGTATAATATTTTACGTTAGGGATCACTTTCGTATACAATCAACCATATCGGAGGCTCATATCAGTGGCACATGTGAGGTTGCATGTTGTAAGATTAAATCTAGAAATGGGTTAGTGACTATAGGGGGAATATACCGTAGTCCGTCTTGTCTGGCTGACGACTTTATCCTAAGACACATCTGTTCTTGGAGTATGGCAGAATGTTGTCTCATCATTGGGGACTTCAACGCACCGCATATCAACTGGATAGAGCTTACAGCTCCAGGTAGTGGTTTCGATAGCGACCTTTTATCTACCGTTATTCAGTGTGCACTTGTACAATGTATCACAAAACCGACACATATTGATTTGCATCATGTTCCGTCACTGCTGGACCTCGCCCTCACCCACCACTCTGAGGATGTCTTTGATATCCAGCACCTTCCTCCACTAGTGAACAGTGATCACGTTGTAATTCACTTTAAGTTTAGGACACATGGTATACAATTCGTATCTGCTCCACCCCGTCCCAATATCTGGCGAGCTAATATTCCGGAAATCAGAAACCGTGCTATCTCGACTGATTGGTCGGTCGACGCGGATGGATTGATCGAAGATGAATGGAATAAGTTTAAGGCTACATTCGAGTCCGTAACGTCGCCGTTTATCCCATGGTCAGCACGTAAGCTATCACATTGCCCTCCATGGATTAATAAGGAAACCCGGAAGCTGTTAAAGCGTAGGAAACATTTCTGGGACTTATTCTTGTTGACAGGTCATGCACCATTTAAGCGTGAGTATCAAAAATACCGTAATATCTGTAAGAAAACCATAGCGAAATCCCGTACCACTTACGAACGACAGTTAGTATATGATAGCCGTACTTGTCCGAAACGATTGTTTTCGTATGTTAAACGGCAAATGAAACGTAGTGATGGTATTCCCCCGTTGCTGTTACACGAAAATTCAGAATTACTAGCTGAATCAGATCGAGCAAAAGCTGAGACTTTTTCAGATTATTTTAGCGAAGTCTTCTCTACGTTTATTGTAACAAATACTTGTCCCACTCACACCGAGATACCAACCATTGAATCCGTACAGGTGACTGAGGAAACTGTCCTTCCGTTGATAACTAACCTCAAACCTGGTAAGATACCGGGCCCTGACGGGTTACATCCACGGTTGCTGTCATCTCTTGCGGACATTATTTCAAAACCGCTTGCGACACTCTTCAACATGTCCCTCTCACTCGCCCAACTCCCTAGAGATTGGAAGGACGCTATAGTTAGTCCTATATTTAAGGACGGTCAGCGACAGATAGTATCTAACTACCGGCCTGTCAGTCTAACTAGCATAGTCGTTAAGTTACTCGAAAAGATAATTCGGGTTAGGTTGCTAAGCCACATAGATTTACACAATCTGTTAGCTCCTGAGCAACACGGATTTCGTAACAAGCGTTCATGCTTGACTAACTTGCTTATTGCGAGGGAGGATTGGACAGCAGCCCTAGATCACGGTCTGTCTGTCGACGTGATATTCATAGATTTTAGCAAAGCGTTTGACAAGGTTTCACACGTAGGTCTTATGCAGAAGCTCACGAGCTTCGGAATAATAGGTACTGTACATGAGTGGATAGGAAATTTCTTATGTGACCGCAGACAGAGAGTTAGGGTCAATGGAACGCTATCCGATTGGAAGCCGGTCAAAAGTGGTGTACCCCAAGGCACCATCTTAGGCCCTCTGCTCTTCCTTCTCTACGTTAATGAGTTACCACTGTTACTTAGGTCGTCGACATTATTGTTTGCAGATGATGTAAAAATCTGGAGAACAATAAAAAGTGCGGCTGATCATGTGGATCTTCAAGCTGATTTAGACGATTTAGTTAGATGGGCTCGAGAGTGGGGCTTAGAAATTAATGCTAGGAAGAGTGTACTAATGCACGTCGGTCACGGTAATAGTTACCGTTACACTATTGAGGGTAAACCTCTTCCATGCGTTCAAGAGCATAAGGACTTAGGAGTAATATTAAGTCATGACTTAAAAACAACTGCGCATTGCAAAGCAGCCGCTGTCAAAGGTTTTCGTGCGTTATGGTCACTTCGCCGAGCGTTCAAATCTTTTGACGAGGAAACGTTTCGAATTTTATACCCCATATATGTTAGACCACATTTAGAGTACTGTATCCAAGCAGCTAGCCCGTGTCTAGTAAAGGATACTAACTCCCTTGAGCGTGTCCAGCGTGTGGGAACGAAATTAGTGAAGGGTCTTTCTAGACTCCCTTACGATGAGCGCTTAAAACGCCTAAATCTTTTCCCCTTGTCGTATCGTAGGACACGAGGTGACCTTATACTGGCATTTCGTATCTTTAATTATGATTTGGGTGTTAATATGTCTTATCTTTTTGCTCCCTCCAGCACTAATAATCTCCGAGGTCATAGCAAGAAGGTTCATAAACCACGATCTAATAAACTTAAAGTGGGATCCCGTTTTTCTCATCGAGTAGTCAATCATTGGAACGCCTTACCCGAACAAGTGGTATCAGCCCCATCAGTGAATACTTTCAAGGAAAAGCTGGACCTTCACTGGAAAGCAATGTGTCAGGATTAACACAGGTTCATCAACCTACTATCCTTATTACTGAAGACTGAAGACTGAAGACTCGTTGCGATAAATGGAATTTCGATCCCAGTTTTCAAATTTCCTTAGACTATCCATCCAAATGATCACTTTTAGAAGGAAGGAAAAGATAGGACATTAGTACGAAGGTTATCGTTCACTATACGGTAAGCCAATATAAGATCACCCTGTAATCTGCAGCAATATACTTACTTACTTTCGCCTGTTACTCCAAATGAAGCATAGGCCGCCGACCAGCATTCTCCAACCCACTTTGTCTTGGGCCTTCTTTTCTAGTTCCATCCAATTCTTGTTCATTTCTCTCATGTCTATTTCCATTTCTCGGCGTAATGTGTTCTTTGGTCTTCCTCTTCACCCCCTATTGGCCTTGACGATTCCATGTGAGGGCTTGTCTTGTGACGCAGTTGGGTACTTTCCTCAATGTGTGTCCTATCCATTTCCAGAACTTCTTCCTGATTTCCT